GAATTAGAAATAAGAGTATTTAAACAAAGGCGTTTCATGACATCAAGGCCAAGAGACAACAATGCAAGAAATTATTTGAATCATTATAAGGGAAAACACACATATACACACACCCCAACATACATCTTTTTGTATCAAAGACCAGCATAATAATGTTGAAAGAGAAATAAATTGGGAAAATGATTTGCAACATTTATGATAGACAAAAAGGTAATATTCTTTATATATTCAGGAACTACTGCAAATTGTGTTAGGCAGAACACTTTCAGTTACAAGAGATAGAAACCAACTCAAATAGGAAAAACGGGAGGGGGAAATGAGCAGGAGAAAGAAATGAGAGATTTGGGTGATTAATTAAGAAGAAATACTCAGTCTCACTAATAATTGAAAATTAGAAGAGGAAGAAAGGGGCATTTCAGAGAACTCCTTTATATGCCTATTCTGTTTCACTGATTAATTGACTAAGTATCAGAAAACATTGTCTGATTAGCCTTTTGTGGCCTGTGGTATAGCTTTTCTTAGGATCCTTTTCAAATTAGAACTGCATTGTTAAAGCAGGAATTTAATTTAGGGAACAGTGTGAGGACAGTGAGCTCAGACTAGATTGCTACGGGGAGCCACTGTGCCAAGAATAAGTAAAGGATGTGATGTCCCTGTCACTGAATAGTACTATTACTGATTGTAGAAATCCGTACATTGTTGTTAGAATCATTTCCTCATTTACCCATGACCAATTGAAAGGAATGAATTTTAGGGCTCCTGGGTGGCTCATTCAGTTAAACGCCCAGCTCTTGATCTCAGCTCAGGTCTTGATTTCAGGGTCGTGAGTTCAAGCCCTGTGTTGGGCTCCATGCTGGTGTGGAACCTATCTAAAAAATAAATAAAATAAAAATAAATAACAGGAATGAATTTTAATCCTTCAGCGTAACTCATGCTCACCGTGGTGCACTACACATTATTTCAGAAGAATCAACATGTGCTCTTGTTTTCTAGGAGAGAAGGCTTATGAAGCCTGCTTTCTTTATCTTATCTGCCCTGTGTTTTTATTGGTTTACACTTTGATTCTACCTAAGCTATTTCACATGCTTGTCATATATTCAGTCTGGTCAGTGTGGTTGGTATAATCATTTGTATGAACAGAATTTTGAAAATTTCCTTATCTCAAATTAACATTTTTTTAATGGTAAGTAGTATGTCATTATGAATGGTAATAGGATATTTTATGACTTTTATTTGTGCCTTTTAAATTTCTCTTCTTTGATGGGGCGCCTGGTGGCTCAGTCAGCTAAGCATCTTGACTTTAGCTCAGGTCATGTCTCAGGGTCCAGGGATCAAGTCCCGTATCAGGCTCCCTGCTGAGAAGTCCCGCTTCTCCCTCTCCTGCAGCTCCCCTTGCTTGTGCTCTCTCTGTCAAATAAATAAATAAATAAAAATCTTTTAAAAAATAAATAAATTTCTCTTCTTTGAGAAAGATGTACATTTAAACATTGTTTATGATTTATGTGAGATTTGGTTCTGGAGTTTCTTTTTACTTCAGAATAGGATATACAGGTTATATTAATTTTCATAGGTTATATTAAAATTTTTGAATACAGCTTTGAGTTTGTCTGTCTACCTAGCTGTCTCTTTTAAGATCTGTGAAGTAAAGAATACCCTATAAATGGGCTGGCTTCCATTAAATTAATTTTTTTCTCATTATAAAATATGCTTGTACAGAATTTGGAACCCATCTCAGTAGACAAGAAAATAATAAAACTTTTGCCTGAGTGCAGGTTTCAGAGATTACCGTAAGTTTGAATAGGTTTTGCTCTTAGCAAGTACATAGTGATGTCCAGCTCCTTTTAGGGTGGCTGTGTGGTTTTCCCCGCACTTTGACCTGCATTACTGCCTGATCTACCTTCTTCCCAGCTGGGTAGCATACTGGCTGAGAGTATTGACTCGGGGGTTAGACTGCTTGGGAAGAATATCCCATCCACCACTTACTAGCTGGGCAGGCTTGGGCAAGTTACTTGCCTTCTCTGAATCATCTTTTTCGTATCTAAAATGGGGATAATAATAGTACTTATCTCTTAGGGTTGTTATAAGGATTAAATGAAATAACACAGTGCCCAGTTCACTGAGGAAAGAAAGCACATGTATAAATGGGGAAAATAAAAGCAGACGATGGACATCCCACTGTGGTCATAGCTTTCTGTAGGAATGAAGAGCCTGATAACCCTTACTGCTTCATATGCAAATGAAGGCACTAGAATGCATCCATGTGTATTTACATATGTGCCTCCCTACAGAGAGGCTTTAGGTCAGTCTCTTGGCCTTTGTTTTGCATGGAAAATGCATTCAAGTTTACTCCCCCCAACTGATCCTGCAAGAATGCAATAAGGCATACATGAACTTTCCTTGTAGGTATCTCTTCCCTCACGAGGAGTAAAAGGTAAGTTAACGTAGCATTAAAATTATCCCTGTGAAAGGGATTAAAACAACAAAATATGCATATATCCTGAAAGAAATCATGATCTTTTTTTAAAAAAGATTTTATTTACTTGAGAGAGAGAGAGAGCAAGCCAGAGAGAGAACATGAGAGAGGGAAAGGGGCAGAGGGAGAGGAAGAAGCAGACTCCTCGATCCTAGGACCCTGAGATCATGACCTGAGCCAAAGGCCGATGCTTCTAAGCCACCCAAATGCCCCAGAAATCATGATCTTTTAAGTATTGACTAGTACTAATCACCCTCCAAGTGATTTTTTTTTTCTTTTTTGAGAACCAAAATTTCACTCCTTTAATAATAGTCACCAGCATCATTATGAATTTATTGCACTAAATCTGTAGATTAATCTCAGGAGCCTTTGTGTTGTTTTTTTCTTAAGATGGCAAATGGTCTTTGTTGTTATATTTGCGTTTTATGTAGCCCTCCTGCTTAAAATGTCCTTTCATCTCTAAAGCTGAGGATACAGAGAGGATGGTTCTAGAAGTGGAATGTTTTCCTTTGGAGAAATACCTGTAGGAAGTGACAGGCCAGGTTGGGTCATTGGCCAGTAGTGAAAGCTGAAGTAGAAGCTGCGGAGTCTTAGTAGAAAGAGCCAGAGATCTGAAATCCCCAGAGCGAGGATTAGTCACAGTTCAGCCTTTTGATGCAAGTACTGTCTCAGCAAGTCACATAAGCTCCGAGCTGAGTTTTGCAGTCTGCTCAGTGGGAACAAGGTCTGTCTCAGAGTTAGGAGTGCTAAATGAGGTGTCTGTGAAGTGTCTTGGACACTGTCAGCACCGTACAGATCCTTTACTCTGTGGGTGTTTGTGCTATCTTAGCTATGAGCACCCCACACTGGAACCCCAGGCATATGTACTAATCTGAATCTCTAAAGATAGAGTAACAGGACCTCTTGAATAAATGTTCATTTCGTCCCTACTGAGATATAGGCATTGTTCTAGACCAGAACTCTTCAATAGAAATAGAGTGCAAGCACATGGGTAATTTAGAATTTCCTAGAAGCCACATTTAAAAAAGGTAGACACAAGATTTATCTTAGTGAGCTCAGTATATCCAAAATATTTTAGCATGTAATCAGCATAAAAATTATTAATGAGATATTTTTTTTTGGTACCAGGTCCTTGAATCTGTAGTATATTTTAATCTTACAGCACATCTCAATTCAGATTGAGCCCACTGCAAGTGCTCAGTGCCTCCCTGTGGCTAGTGGCTACAGTGGTGGGCATCTGTCCCCTTCTATATGTTGGGTTGTAGGAGTAAACAAGATATAGAGAGTTCTTTCCCTCAGAAAGCTTCCTCTAGCATGGGGAGACAGATGATACACAACAGATGTAAGTAAGATAGTAGTGATATGTGCTGTAAAGAAAATAGGACACCGACGTGGGAGGAACTGGAAGGCCTACCTTACCTAGAATACTCCGGGAAGAGCGGTTGGAGATGCTGATGTCTGAGCTGAGGCCTGAATGATTAAAAAGGCAGAGCTAGGGGCGCCTGGGTGGCTCAGTCGGTTGAGCTTGAGCATTTGCCTTGGCTCCAGTCCTGATCTCAGGGTCCTTGGGATCGAGCCCCGGGTCAAGCTCCCTCTCTGCCCCCTTCCCCCCCACCCCACTTGTGTGTGTACTCTCTCTCCCCCTCAAATAAATAGAATCTTTAAAAAAATTAAAAAGGCAGAGCTACTCATGTGAAAATATGAGTGATGTTGCCTCTAGTCAGTGGGAACTGCAAATGCAAGGCCCCAGATGGGATGTTCTCATTGTACGAAGGGAGCCAAGTGGTGTGACTGGATTGTCGGAAGTGAGAGAGTGTGAGATGAGATTGGAGAGGTAGACATGCTCTAGAAGAAACACAGACGTAAAGGCTATGGTAAGAAATTGATATTTTATTTTAAATGAGATGGGAACCAGTGGAGGGTTTTATTTTTACTTTTTTAAAAAGATTTTATTTATTTATTTGACAGAGAGACTGAGAGAATGAGTGGGAGGAGGGGAGAGGGAGAAGCAGACCCCCTGCAGAGCAGGGAGCCTGACATGGGACTTGATCCCAGGACCCTGGGATCATGACCTGAGCCGGAGGCAGGCACTTAACTGACTGAGCTATCCTGGTACCCCAGTGGAGGGTTTTAATAGGGGCACAAGACACACACGAGTTTATAAAATACAAGTGAGACACTCATGTTTCAAAACTACCTAATTTATTATATATCTAATTCAGTGGACCAGAAGACCAAACTTTTTTTAATATCTGTAGCCAATATCTCTTCCCCATTTTCAAAATAAACTTATGTGCAAGTCAGTGTGTTATCTATAGACTTATATGATTTAGGGAGAACTTCTTTTGGACATTTTATATCCATTAGCTGTTATTTTCTCAAATTCTAGAAGAGCTCTGGGTGTTTTACTTAATATAAAGTTCTCACTTATAATTGGTTTATAGACAAAATGCCTTTGAGGAGAGACAAAAATTGTGAAAACAGTGGATCTACTACTGATTTTCTTTCTTTCCTAACCCTTTGGCAGACATGTGCATTGCGATTGCAATTTCTCTTCTCATGATCCTGATATGTGCCATGGCCACTTACGGAGCCTATAAGGTAAGCGGCTTTGAAATAGGGGGCTGGGCTTTCTCCTTGGTCCCTTACACTTGTAACCTGGGCAGCTGCTTGTGAGAAGGAAGAAGTGATGATTCTCAGTTCCCTATAAGAGCCTTTGGAAACTTAAATCTCGTATTAATGTTCTGTGGAAAACCAGTGCTGTAGTCTCAGGAATGCTCACGGAGGCTTGTTGGTTGACCACCTCTGTGTGGTTTACCAATTGTCATGACCTGGCTTATCGAATGTCTCGTCCTCCACTTCCTTTCGGATGAAGAAAGGATTTATCTGAGTTGGGGAAAAAAATAACATGATACTGAACACATTCACATCATCTTTTCTCTCATATTTAGCAACGCGCTGCCTGGATCATCCCGTTCTTCTGTTACCAGATCTTTGATTTTGCCCTCAACACCTTGGTTGCCGTCACTGTGCTTGTTTATCCAAACTCCATTCAGGAATACATACGACAGCTGGTATGTGGCCTTCCTCATCACTGTTCCCTTCAGGATCTAGTCTCGACATACACACACACGAATTTGTGGCTTTTTCCACTTGGATCAGAGGTACTGATTAGAGATTTTTGAGTGTCATCTTTAAGATTTTTGGTTTCTTAGAATGCTTTTTGGGACAACATAACCTCCTGAGGTTGATAAATGGGGGGTTGCGATGACTGTATCAGCTGCACCTATGTAAATTATAAGCTGGTTACTAATTCTTATTTTTGTAAAATGTAGTTTGCTCAGTTATCAGCAAAGGATCATTTTTTTTGCCTCTGCTCTTGTACGGGAAAAGTGGAAATGTACCATACACTGGTTCCCGAACTTATTTGACCATAGAACCCCTTTCTTCGTCAGGCATCTTTTTGGGACTTGTTTTCTGTTAAGTGTTTTTTGTGACTGAGCGAATGTGGATAACTGGATATTCAGAAGCTGGTGGAGGGTGTAATACTTGTGCGCCTTTACGTTTTTCACCTTTGTTTTTAAAATTGTGAGTGTGCCTTAACATTTAATTTCTTCAAAATCTTAGCATGTTTTAAAGGGAGAGAATGTTCACTCTTTGGAGGTTTGCATTGTTTGAGCTTGGGGAAGGAGCAGGGTTTTTCTGGCACGGGAGATTCAAGGCTGGAGATTTGATGTGACAGCAGAGGCCAAGAAGTTCAGTGGAAAAGAGAGAGATGGATGAGTGGGGGGAGGGAGGGAAGGAAATCTGGCAGCAGGAGTTTGTGATCTTATGGCTGGCGTGCCTAAATCACGTATCCAGTACTCAGCAGACCTAGAAAAGCAGACTGAGAAGCCTCTAGTGTTTTTTGCTCCTTAAAAGTATTCAGTTGTCCCTGTTATGGTTGTCATTTTTAAGCTGTTAGTAACAGCTTCTCTTTGCTTTAGAAAACAGGAGCATGTTTTGGTAGCCTGTAGTGTCAAGAAGAAAATGTGTATTTCCCATGTGCTAATCGTATATATTTCCTCTCACGGTAGAGCTTGAGTGTTTCTGCATGAGAGGGTTTCTATGTGACGAGCAGTTTGTAGAATTACCTCTGTCTTTAAGGGCTTGTGTTTTTATTCTGTAATGATGACCCAGTGCCGGGCTCTTCAAATCAACCTTGGCAGTGTGGAGGAAACATGACCTCCCCATAGCCTGTCACGTGAGGGGCCAGGAAAGGGTGGTGCTGAGTAAGGAGATGCTAAGACAAGCTCTATGGCAGCCCTGTGACCCCCTGAGGATTGTGTTGTTTGCTCCATCCCGTGTGTCGCAGAGACTTAGAAGAAGCAGAAAGCATGTAACATGCAGACCAGCCTTTAGAACACTCAGAATACTCCCTCGACTTTCTGCCGTACCCCACACTGTTCAGTCACTTCGTACTCATTTGCTTTAGAGCCACCAGTGGTAAAATGATAATGTTGGTGATGCTGACAGTAAGCATAGTATCAGCCAAAAAAAAAAAAAAAAAAAAAATCACCATCTACTTTTATTTGTAATTACAAACCAAATCATCCAAGTGAATGTCTTCAGTATGTTCTACTCAAAGATCAGTCTGAGCTGAAGGGGTGAGGTCCATGGATGATCACGATGCCTAAGGACAGTGGTAAAGCTGCACAGATGACGAGGCCCCGCTGACAAGCTGCTGTCCAGGAGTCTGGAGGGACGGCACCCGCTTTACTCTAATGACTGTTCTGTTCATGTGGGGTCTTGTAAAATGCAGCGAAAATAAGTTGCGTGTGTGTTTTATAGCTCTTGATATAGAAACCGTGTTCACTTTTCTGGGGGAAGGAGTGTGAAGACCTTTGTGGAAGGAGTCACGTACTTCCGCTTTAATCCTTTTTTTTTTTTTTTAATAAACAGTATGATTTTGTGTTGGTCTTACAAAAGGACACCAAGTTGTTTTATTCTTACCTGTAAGAGTAGCACTATACAAACCCTTCCAGCCTCTAAGGGGAGGAACCAGTCTCGTGAGCTGATCACAAAGAATGACTCAGATTTTATTTCTAGGGTTTTTTGCCCAAAGTGAAAGGAGACTGAAAACCACTGGGTGATGTTCACCATGGGGAGGAGTTTCTTTATATTCTCCTTTAACATTTGGAACCTCTTTGTTGTGTCTCAGAATACTGCTAATGTGGAATCCAAAGCCATGGTATTGGATGATGAGGAAGAGATAAGGGGGACATGGCCGCCAGGGCTGCCGTCCATGCATCCTGCCCCAGGCCAGGGACGTGGAGGGCTTCCAGCATGCTGTGCGGGCAGTCCCAACCGTAGGAGCCAGTTTTGATCCTCCTTAAAAAGGTTTCCTTTGATCTGGTAGTTAATCAATATGGCCAGATGGTAGGACTTGATCTTTTTTTTTTTTAATGCTATAAATACCTACTAGTGTAAAAGATTCTGTTCCTTGAGGAGAAGGAACATCAGCAAAAATGCTCTGTATAAATAAGACAGTATTTTAATAGGTTTTTCCTCCTTGCCCTGTGCAAGCCCTTTAAGAGTGGTCCACCATTTGCAGAGAATCTCAATGTCACAGGTGGATAGAGAACTACTGACTTCTAACTTTTTGTACAATAAGGAGGGCAGAGTTACATTTTCAGGCCTCACTAATCTTCCTCTGATTTTTCTTTTCACGAGTCATTGCCTGACATAAGCACACTGGCCTTTCTCCACACACCTTTTGTCACTTTTTCATTAGAGGTGGGCTAGAAAGTTTGTAGTGGTCTTAAATAATAACTATCTGCTTTAACTAATTGCTTTTTAATAAGCACATCTGGTTAATGCCTAAGGAATCTAGTCTGGAATGATTAATGAAATTTGCTAACAAGGTACTTTTTATTTGCAGCCTCCTAATTTTCCCTACAGAGATGATATCATGTCCGTGAATCCTACCTGTTTGGTCCTTATTATTCTTCTGTTTATCAGCATTATCTTGACTTTTAAGGTAAGCCATGCAGATTTTTCTTATGGCCTAAATATTGTTAAATGTATTCACGAATGCTAAGGAAGTAAGCAAACTTGTGTCAGTTCTTTACCTTGCTTTAGATTTCTGAACTGCTTTTTGATTTCCTAACACTTTTGTTTCTTCTCTTACCTGTATGAGAGGGAAACAGTAACCACACTTTCACAGGCCAACCAAGGGTTATTCCAAAATCCATTTGGAGGGGAATATGTTAATGTTATACATTGGGGAGGAAGTTATATACTGCAGTAGCCATTACAGTATCTGTGTGCACAGTCTTCTGTAATTTGTTTTTAAAATGTTAATATATTGTGAACCGTGTTCTCTTAACAATCTAGTATAAGAATTTACTAATATTTAATAAATTACTTATTGCTGGACATCAAGACAGTTTCTGCTTTTTCACTTAATAGTGCTACAACATTTTTTTACTACATCTTTCATGTACTTACGTATTTATTTCTTCAAGACGCATTTCCTAAAATTAGACGGTATGTGTAATTGGAGGGCTTTTGATAGGATTTCAGATTGGTTTCCCCCCAAATTAGGTGACTGACACTCCGTGAGCACCGTTTACCACCCCCTCAACAATTGAGTGCTGCTGCTGCTTTTTCCTCTTTGCAAACCTGATGATAAAAACATCACTATACTTTGTGCTTGTGTGCTACTAGGAAGTAGAAAATTTCTAAGTCATTACTAGACTTTGAACTTTTAATTCTTAACATCTTTCATTGTCTTTATTTTGGCATAAAATTACCCAATTTTTAAACAGTCAAGCCTCGATAAGCTTGAAGAAGCTACATTTAGAGAGAATAGTCTTTTCAAGCAAGTAATATGATGAAGAGGAGTAAAAGGAAAATGATCCGGGTGCCTGGGTGGCTCAGTCGTTAAGCCTCTGCCTTTGGCTCAGGTCATGATCCCAGGGTCCTGGGATCGAGCCCTGCATTGCGCTACCTCCTAAGCGGGAAGCCTGCTTCTCCCTCTCCCACTCCCCCTGCTTGTGTTCCTGCTCTCGTGATCTCTCTGTCAAATAAATAATAAAATCTTTAAAAAAAAAAAAATGATCCACTGGGAGTCGTTTGAGTCAGCATTTTCCTCAGGAACTGAGTATGTTGATATTGCATGTCTTGTTTAGTGCTCGAGATTTGAGCAGATTTTATACACGGATGTTGAGGCCCCCCACCTCTACAGTTCCACTCTTCCCACCCCAACATTCTGGCTGCTCCGTCAGCCCTGAATATTGTCCCTTGCCCAACCTGGCAAAAGGTCGCAAACTCTCAAAACCCTACTCCTGGAAATCTGTCTTTCAAAGGCAGACTCTTCTTTAATTTCTGCCTGTTTTGGTCCCTCCCCCATGCTTTCAAATCGTGTGTGTATCTTATTCCAGATTTTATCATTTTTACCTATAGGAAGGTTAGTCTACCAAGCTACTTTCTGCCATTACCAGGAGCTCAGAAGCTGGAACCTCCTAGGGCTCTTGAAGGCATTTTAACTTTGTAGGCATTTTCCTTTGTATTAGAAATGCTTTACCTTGAGATGTTGAGTCAGATTTAGCTTCTCTCACTGCTGTTTCTCTCTATGTGGCCAGAGATTTGGTTTCTTCATTTAATAACCAGCAATAATGGAAAAAACATTCTGTGGGTGACTGTGATGTTTAAGTGTACTAATGGATGGGAAGATGTATCATCCATTCATTTTTTTCAGTGAATATTTATTAAGGGTTTCCCATCTGCCAGGCCCTATTCTAGGTACTAAGGTTTAGTTGTGAGTAAGAACAGTCTCTGCCCTTTGGTGCTTTTATAAATTGCAAAACACTTAATTATCATAATGATCTAATGAAAGGCATGATACAAATCTATCTCCAGCCTGTGGGAAATGTGTCCTTGCCTTAGTATTTCATTACTTACATATCTATTTACTAACTAGACTGCATTTCCTTGAGAATGTAGACTGTGCCTTCAGTTTTGTCATCCTCCTAGCCCTAAGCTCATGCCTTGCACGTAGAGACTCGGTGATTATTCATTTAAATAAATATGAGTCTACATGCTGTGATTTCATATATCAGTTTACCTGATTAGTGGCTCTCACGACCTAAATTCACTGTTTAGTAAAGTTTATCATCAGATGGGTTCCCTAGGAGCCCATACCAGGACATGTGTCCATTTCAGTCTGTCCCAAGACCACAAAGGGAGCAATGCTCACCCCTCGCTCTGCAAATTGATGATGGACACGATTTGCCACTGTACATTTACTTGGGAAACATACTAAATATTTAATTCTCTTGAAATTGAATGACAGAAATGTTAAGAGAGAAATAAGATCATTGAAGTAAGTTACTGGGTTTTTAGAGACAATAGGCCAGAGGTTTTTTTCCCCCTTTTGCAGTGTTCAGTAAGCGAATGCTGGGGTGCTGCCAGGGGCCCTCGAGAATGCTGCCTGGCCTTGCGAAGCCCCTGCCCCCAGGGGCTTCCCCTCTGCTGTTTAACCTTCACGTTGTAGACGTGTCCTTGCAGAGGTCTCACCCAGCCTCAAAGAGTAGCTACTGCTCACTGCTAGAATAACGTGTGAGTGCAGTCTTCTTGCGGAACACACAATGAATGTGTCCTAACATTCTTTTTCATTTGTATTAGAATTCTCAAAAAGTCTAAGGCTTTTGTTTTCTCACTAAGGAAACGATGGCATTATTGAGTAAACTGAAGGTTTGAATAAAATGAAAATATTGTGTGCATTGTTTAAGAAATACGCCCTTCCTGTCTCTCTCTCATTGTGGATACCTGGTTTCAGATTATTGCCGTCCAGAAATATTTCATAAAGTAGCATTATACGTTTTCCTCTTCACATCATCACAGAACATTTAAATATAAGAAATAATCACCGTCAAGTACGAACGCAGCTTAAGACAGCATTCTGAGTATACGACGGAGTATTTTACCTCAGTCTTTTTGGTTTTTTTTAAAGATTTTTATTTATTTGAGAGAGAGAGAATGAGAGAGAGCACGAGAAGGAGAAGGGTCAGAGGGAGAGGCAGACTCCCTGCTGAGCAGGGAGCCCGATGTGGGACTCGATCCCGGGACTCCAGGACCATGACCTGAGCCGAAGGCAGTCGCTTAACCGACTGAGCCACCCAGGCGCCCCTATTTTACCTCAGTCTTCCAAGAAATGTTGACAAGCACTCCTTTTGTCCTTAGATGTCTTCTTTGTTATAAAACAACTTTGTTGCGATATAATTCACATATCATAAAATTCACCCACTTAAAGGGTACAATTTCAGTGGTTTTTAGTATATTCGCAGAGTTGTGTGAACCCAGCTCTGTGGTTAAACAATATAACTTTAGGACATTTTTATCATTTGCCATTCATCCTCACCCTCATAACCCCCAGATCCCTGACCCCTGGCAACTACTAATGTACTTTCTGTCTCTATAGATTTGCCTGCTCGGGACATTTCATGTAAATGGAATTATACAGGATATGGTCCCCTGTGACTGACTTCCTTTGACTTAGCATATTTTCAGGGTTCATCCATGTGGTAGCATGTAGCAGGATTTCTTTCCTTTTTATGGCTGAATGATACTCCACTGCATGAATATACCACATTTTGTCTACCTAATCATCAGTTGGTGGGCATTTGGGTTGCTTCCACTCTCTGGCTATTAGGAATGACTCTGCTGTGAACATTCATGTGCAAGAGTTTGTGTGGACACATGTTTTCATTTCTCTTGGGCATATACCGGCTGGGTCATATGGTCACTCTTTAACCTTTTGAGAAACCACCAGACTGTTGTTCAAAGCGGCTGCGTCATTTCACATTCCCACCTGCAGCGTACGAGGGTTCCAATTTCTCCACATCTTTTCATTTTTTTGATCAAAACATTGTAAAGCTGGAAAAGGATTTTGTAGTCCTCTACTTTTAATCCAGTCCCAGGTGATCGGAGTGGAAGTGCAAGCTTCTCACAGTCTGCACGTCTCCCATGAACTCCTGCTTTATCCCTGGCATGGCTTTATTCTGGACATTAATTGTAATGGCCTTTTTGGATATTTCATTATGAAGATGGAGATGTTTAGTGAATTTTATTGACCACGAAGCAAATTTATATGCTGTGAATGTTTTTTAAAAAATTAACTTGAATATGATTTGTTTAATCATATGTAATCATGTAGAATAAAAATCTCCAAGACAGTTAAAATGTGATGAGAAATGGGTTAATACACAATTGATCTGTGACACTGAGGGCAGCAAATGTTTGTGGTAATTGCTCCTTCCAACTACCTTTTCTCGGAGATTCTCCTGCTCTCCCCTGTCACCTCCACCACCACCTACCTTCTGGGAGTGGGGGTTGTGATAGAATAAGCTACAGTAGCACCCTTTGCCAGAAAGTTACTATACCCAACATTTGTAATTGTAAAGACTTCTTGATTTAGTAGCGTTACTATGTGCACTTACAAGTTAGTAAATAAAAGTTCTGTAATATGGTTTTCTCTGGGGGAGGAGGGACTTAAAATTGTCTGAAGTTTGGAAATGAAAGACCTAATAATCGCTATTCACTTACAGGGTTACTTGATTAGCTGTGTCTGGAACTGCTACCGATACATCAATGGCAGGAACTCCTCTGATGTCCTGGTTTATGTTACCAGCAATGACACTACGGTAGGTGTGGGGTCATTTAAAGTGGAAATCTCCACGCATCTACTCTATGATGTTTCTAGTGTTTGCCATGTTTTTACCATTGTTGAAACAGACTTAATGAGCTGCTTAATTATCAGAAGATTCATAGTTGAATGAAATGTGTTTTATTTTCCTTATAGAATATTAAAATCTAGATAGCTCATTTATTTAAATAGATTTACATACATTCTGGCTTATTTTTTAAGTTTTTTAAAAATATTGCAGATGGATAATATATCTATACCTTCCCCATATTTTAAACCATGCTGTGAAACTCTAGATATCAATTCTGCTTAGTATGACTGCTGTCTCCCTTGACACGTGAATTGAAACCTAGAAATGTGATTGTAGAGCTAGAGAAATGAGAATGGCAGAGGTTGCTGTGTCTTTAAATCTCGTTCTGCTCCTAGTTTTTCATACTTAAGATTTTTAAACCTATGTAATAGGATTATGGAAAACATGTCCTTCCTGGAAGAGTCCTCAAAATCATTTGTCCTTTATGTAAATTATCTTAAATTGCCTGGCTCATAGGAAAAGTATAAGTCCTCTAGGTTTTAACCTCTCCATGTCTCCTTTGTCTTTGTATTCAGCACTGTGTTCAGCACAGTGCCTGATACAGTGCTAGGAACGAGTAGGTGCTCAAGGAGTGGTTAATGCAAAGGTTGGCGACGGGTGACATGAGCGTGTGGGATGGGTCGTAACGGATAGGATTGGAGGGGGCAAAATGGACAGACAGGGCGCCTGGGTGGCTCAGTCGTTAAGCGTCTGCCTTCGGCTCAGGTCATGATCCCAGGGTCCTGGGATCGGGTCCCGCATCAGGCTCCCGGCTCCTTGGGAGCCTGCTTCTCCCTCTGCCTCTCTCTCTCTCTGTCTCTCATAAATAAATAAATAAAATCTTAAAAAAAAAAAAAACAAAATGGACAGGACACATGGAAGGGTAAATACAAAGGGCATTTTAAGTCTAAACCAGAACAGAGTTTTATATTTCGATTTGTTTTTTTAAACTGTGGTGACTTACTCTGTGACCTTACTGAAATAATTTAACCTGTCCTGATTTGACTTTCCTGTGTATAAAATGGGAATGAAACAGTTTTGTACATTACATTAAATATATAGGTACCAGCTGATATACTGAAAACTATGTGGAATTTCTGAGAGAAAGCATGTTGTACGTGAATAGTTTTCCTTAGTGTTCACCAAACATTTGTTGAGTTGACTCACATGTGTTTGAGCAATGGTTTAAGAAGATGCTCTGCTACGATCAGATGCACAAAACCCAGTGTACCAGGTGCTGAGGAGGCCCTTTGGTGGGGGCGGGGGGGGGGGCTGCAGAATCCTATAGCCTGATTACAGTAAACACATGTTCTACTCAACCCTTTAAGGAATTCCTCTTGGTCAGTAGGTCTCTTTAAAGAAATAGCTGTTTGTAATGATCATAATCTTGATAAAATTACTGGCTTAAAGAATTTTTTCCTTCTCTCTGAGTTTCTGGGTATTTAGTTACCTATAAGTTTCCTTCTGCCTTTTCTTAAAGAAGAAATCCCAGAGTACATTTATTTATTCTCCTGCTGATCTAATGAAAAATCTAAGCAAAATTTGAGATTTTTGAGTTTGAGGAACCAGTAAAGTTGCTAAACAAGCAAGATGCATCAGAACGTCATCCTAAATATCATGATGTGTGGGACTTCCAGAATCTTGAGTCTCTCAGAAAGATAATGCCCGTGTTGCACGTGTTTGTGTTAATACACTGTTGGTGGTGGTGTTTTCAGGGCTTTCTGAAGGGTTGTGTGTATTTTTAATAGAAGCAAGGTGGAAGGGCCGAAAAGGTACATGTTGTGTAGATATACCTTCGAATCCAAGGATATTCTGAAATTTGTAGAAATTGGGGTGCTGAGAGATTTCAAGGACCGTGAGTAAGTCCCTAAAATGCATCCAACTTCCTTTTTTGAGAAAGTTTTTATTTTCCCCCTTTGAAAGATTCAGAATTAGACATGGAATAAGAAACAGGTAGGTTTTATTTAGGCTAACATAACATAAATTTTTTTTTTAAAGGGATTACTACCTTTTTTTTTTTAAGATTTTATTTATTTATTTGAGAGAGAGGATGAGAGACAGAGAGCATGAGAGGGAGGAGGGTGAGAAGGAGAAGGAGACCCTCCGCCGAGCAGGGAGCCCGACGTGGGACTCGATCCCGGGACTCCAGGGTCATGACCCGAGCCGAAGGCAGTCGCCCAACCAACTGAGCCACCCAGGCGCCCATAACATAAAATTTTATAGTTATACTTTTCAACTGGACATCCCCAGCTCTTCCTTTTTTGTTTTTTACTTTAAATTTTTTATTGTTATGTTAATCACCATACATTACATCATTAGTTTTTGATGTGGTGTTCCATGATTCATTGTTTGTGCATAACACCCAGTGCTCCACGCAGAACGTGCCCTCTTTAATACCCATCACCAGGCTGACCCATCCCCCCACCCCCCTCCCCTCTAGAACCCTCAGTTTGTTTCTCAGAGTCCATAGTCTCTCATGGTTCGTCTCCCCCTCTGATTTACTCCCCTTCATTCTTCCCCTCCTGCTATCTTCTTCTTCTTTTTTTTTTTTCTTAACGTATATTGCATTATTTGTTTCAGATGTACAGATCTGTGATTCAACAGTCTTGCACAATTCACAGCGCTCACCATAGCACATACCCTCCCCAATGTCTATCACCCAGCCACCCCATCCCTCCCACCCCCCACCACTCCAGCAACCCTCAGTTTGTTTCCTGAGATTAAGAATTCCTCATATCAGTGAGGTCATATGATACGTGTCTTTCTCTGCTTGACTTATTTCACTCAGCATAACACCCTCCAGTTCCATCCACATCATTGCAAATGGCAAGATCTCATTCCTTTTGATGGCTGCATAATATTCCATTGTGTATATATACCACCTCTTCTTTATCCATTCATCTGTCGATGGACATCTTGGCTCTTTCCACAGTTTGGCTATTGTGGACATTGCTGCTATAAACATCGGGGTGCACGTACCCCTTCGGATCCCTACATTTGTGTCTTTGTGGTAAATACCCAGTAGTGCAATTGCTGGATTGTATGGTAGCTCTATTTTCAACTTTTTGAGGAAACTCCATACTGTTTTCCAGAGTGGTTGCACCAGCTTGCATTCCCACCAACAGTATAGGAGGGTTCCCCTTTCTCTGCATCCCCGCCAACATCTGTCGTTTCCTGTGGACATCCCCAGCTCTTCTAATAATAGACCTCTTTCTTCAGAAAAGCTTCCAGCTTGGAGTTGGTTTAAAATAACTAGAATTTGGGACCACAGACTGGTGCCAACTGTGATGGTTTCCTGGTATGTTGACAGAGGGGCTGGAGAATTGTTTGGTCATGATTATTGGTCATTATCTTCTTGGTCACGCTGTACCAACTTGACATTTTTAAGACAGGAAACTGAGTTGCTGATAATGTTTCTACTTTCTCAAAGTTCCCAGTGAACCTTTCTTTTTCTCTGTGTGTGTTTGTTTTTTAAAGAAGGATATTCTTGCGGAAGGGAGATTTATTGTTTCTCATAACTGGGTTGCGTTGATAATCTACTCCAAAATGTAGGGTTAGAGCACCACCTGAGTCTCAGCTCTTCTGACAGTATTTTTAAAGATTTTTTTAAAAAAAAGATAATGGTATTGTGCTTATTTTTTAAAGAGTCCTTATTATACCTAACAAAATAATTCTTTACTATCGTAAGATACCCAGTAAGTGCTCAGATTTCCAGTTGTCTCATAAATGTTTTTCTGGTGGTTTATTTGAAACAGGAACTATGGGTCAATCTGTATTTTAAGACTCTCTAATTTTTTGTTAAAGAAACTAGTTTGTCCTACAGACTAGATTTGTCTGACTGCTTGCCTCTGTAATGTAGTCCTCTGTATTCCCACTAGATTAGCACTTGGAGCTAGAGGTTTCCCATATTAATATCCCCCTTTTTTTGCAATATTACTTTATAATTGATCATTTGTTCTTCCATCAAGAGGCAGATAATGTCTGGCTGATTCTACCTTTTTGGAATGTCAGCACCATTAATATCTACCACCTGGATTCAGTGATTCATTGGGGGTTGCAATATGATGACATGCTATCACTCCTTGCTCACTTATTAGCTGGAATATTTCTATAAAGAGAAACTTTCCCTCATACTCAACTTGCTTACCCAGTGGTACGTGTGACCTGGGTAAATATACTTGATTTTGTTATTTATCAGTTGTCAAAATGGTGAGTTGGTCTGTCATGCTCTAGTGGTGACCAGTGAAGGTTTTTTTGTTTGCTTGTTTGTTTTTATGTAATGAATGAACTCATGAAAAGAGGCCTATTAGGAGAAGAGCTGAGGGTGTCCAATTGAAAAGTAAACTATCTTGATACATTTTATCAGTAAGCCTAAGGAAAACTTTAACCTATTATCCCATACCCTTTTGAGACTTTCAAAGGGAAAAAAATAAAAGCTTTCTCTAAAAAGCTAGTACATTATAGTTAATATCCTTATTGATGCTCAAGTTGTACCATCTTTGGCCAATGGGAGCCTCTTCAGTTCGGCCCCTAAGTCTTGACAGACCATGGCTTCCTTGCTGTCTGGTTGACAGGATGCTCCAGGCTCATCTTGTCTATTTATAATCCCAGACCTGGAATCAGCCGTTTCTTCAAGGAGCCCTGCTTCCTTTAGGTGGAGACCATAATCTGGATTTCCAGGGTTGGAGAACATATTTCTTTTTAAGCAGGGCTCCACGTGTTTGAAGACTGTTTTGACTAGAACGAAAGGAGTTAGCATTCTAACTTTAAAACTCTAAATATACCAGAGCTTTACTCTGAGACCCTGAGTGGGGGTTGGAATGATCTAGTTCTGTCATTTTCCCTGGTCTCCATAGCTATATTAAGAGCCTCATAGTGTGTAATAATGTGTGCTTCTCTTTTGTCTGTGTCTTATTAGGAACCCACAC